CTTCAGCATTTGAACGTTGTCCACACTGAAGCACACAAGGCTGCGTCTTACCCGGTATAAATTGCTACTCATCCCCAACTACCAGAATCAAAACTGGCTACATGGTTTGTAGGGCATGGTACAAAAATGAAAATTCGGAGTCTTTTTGTAACAAGGAATTATGAGGAATTCTAAGGAGCCCACAGTAGAGCGCTAAGTGAACCACGCAATCTTTCTGAGCCCAAGCAAGAGCTTGTCACATGCCTGCCAGGCTGGCACTGCTGAAATGCACCTGGAAATGAGTACCCGGGGCTGCGACTCGGAAGCTCTGAGTAGGAGCTTTGTCCCCAGCCCAGGGGCCATGGCACTGTGGCTCAGCAGTGCCTGGGGAGCCCTCTGTGGATGCAGGGTACCCGAGAGCCAGCCGACAGGCATGGGAGTTACTGTTCACTTGAGCTGCTGGGGAGACAGCCAGTGCCCATCTGTAAGTCCAAGCTGAGCTCCTGGCTGGAGACACTGTATTTCAAAGGACAATAAAAGATGAATCGTATAAAATAAATAAGGCAGGAAGAAGTTTGTGTAGGGAACCTTCTTTCAATATTTAATGAAACAAAAGGAAACTGAAATCCTTACTGTGGATCTGTGAGCCTACAGTTATCTCTGCCTATAGTTCACAGCATGTGAATCGCGCCCAGGGTTTGGGTCATGGCACAGGCTTAATACACTAATGGATCTTTATCTGCATCTCCAGATAAGAAATTTGAGTGTCAGAAAAAGAAGGTGACTCTAGAAATTTCAAAAATTGAGTATGTGGCAGAGCTAGAACTAAAAACTAATTTCTACTTCCTGAGGTTGAACTACACAGCCAATCCCATGCTAAGCAATTTTCAGGCATCATTTATTCACTGAGTCAGAAATCTTTCAAGTGAGGGTGACCCCGTCCTTCACTGAAATCAGTTGAAAGCAAACTTTGACCCTGTTGGAAAATTCAGAAGGCAGCTGCTTTGGAGTTAAATTTGTGTTAAAATGGTGTTCTCAGGACTTATTCAAATATCTCTTAGTTCTGTTTTTCTGCATTATAAATGCTCAGCTGGAATCTGGGCTCCATCCCCTTTAGCGCCACAGGCCGTGACACTCACCTGAGCCCAGCACAGGGCTGGACCTGGTCCTGGCTCACAGACTGGCCCGGGATTATCATGAGATCTTCCCAAAGCAGAAGCGGAGAACCAGCCCCTAACCATGAAGACCGAAGAGGAGAGGTTGTTTCTGAGAGATGGCTTAGGTTGTTTTGTCCCAGGAAAGGGGAAAAGACTCTGGAAAGACCCTAGTAACATATACATTACAGAAGTTATAGTTACTTTCTACATTTTATACACAACCAAGTGAGGCTTATGGGAAAAGAAGAAGCCTGCTTCCCCGTGCTTTCCCTAACCCTAAGACAACAAAATCCCAGTCCTATGAAATGATAAAAAGGATTTATTGTTCTGAGTGCATTCATGGGATGCCATTCAGATCACCCCTAGTACGAGACATTTGATAACTGCATCATCATGTTCAAACCAAAGGGCACACAGAGGACTTTATGGAGACACAAGTAATGGAGAGTTTTATGGTCATCCCCGAATGGCCGTTTCACAGTGACTAATGTATTCATGGGAACACGCCACTCCAAAGACCGTAAATTCTAGATCATGAACTCTTGAGTCCTGCACCCATTTATCTTCCCGTTTGTACTGTCTGACTCACTGAAGGCACCCTGTAAGTTCTTGTTGGATCAATAATAAAAGTGGGTGGGAGATAACCCGAGTCTACTTACTTATTTAGCATGGAACAGCACCACCTAACACTACCTTAGAAGTATTTTCCATCTAGGAAATACCAACAAATTAAAAATATCAAAACTAGGACAAAGTGATGGGTGATAGTGCCATTCTGCATTTTATTGTGACTGAAAGAGAACCGGTTTTGCATTGCCTTTCAGTCGCCCAGTTATAGCTTTTCTTTGTGTAGTATTTCAAGGGCGCCCGAGTGAAGTGTTTCTGCTGTGGATCCCTTCAGAAGGAAGTGATAAGTAGTGCGAAACTTTGAGGTCATCGTAGGTTAAGACGGTATTAAAAGTAGGAGCTGGCTTTCTCATCTGAGAATGCCTAATTCTTTCTCCTTTACTTTTAATTGGCAAGTAAAAATTATGCATATTTTTTATGTCAGCTGGTTCTGATGTACGTGAACATTATGGGACCGCTACGTCACACTAATGACTCTGTACTGGGGGACATTTCCTGAGATTTTCTTGGACTCTGGTGTTGCCCAGCTCTATTCAGTGTCGGCTCAAGAGAGAAGCTACTGGTGTGGGCAATAGAGTAATGTCGGGATCTGCAAAACTCTGTCACGACTTTGTGTTTTAAAAAAGAGAGTGTGTTTTTTGTGTGTGTGATAATGTGATTTAAAACAAAGATTTGACGCTCTTGTCCTTCTGACTCTTCGCCTGTGCTTTCCGACCAGTGCCTCACTCAGCAGACATGCAGCAGGAGCATGGGTACACGGCCACAGACATCAGTCCCACTGCTGCATGGCTTTCTGGCCGAACTTCACAGGTGCTGTGTTCCCCCGGGTGCTTCGTTCCCCCGGGTGCTTCTCTGTGCCTTGTGACTCGCTGTTCCTAGAAACCGGGCACCTCCAGCCACCTTCATCCAGGGTGATGCGTCCCTGCTTGATGCCCCCAGGGCTGCTGCTGTCCCGATTTTTACTTACATTCTTAGCTTCCAGTAGAGCCCTTGTTATTATCAGGACTGATTCTAAGGAAGCTGTTCAGTGAAACAAACATTTCAGAAGTGTTTAATTATACCTAGAGCCTATAAGACTTACTTCTTTATTAAGTTTATTGGTACACTTTGGGTACATATAACAGTTACATTCATCATTAGGATCTGTACCTTTACGTGACGTATCTTACTTTTTCCCATTCCCAGCCCTCCCTTCACCCCCTCCACCCTTCCCTGTTTACAAAGAGTTTGTTTCCGTGTTTTTTTCCTTTTCTCATATTTTTGTCTTTTCCCTTTCTGCCTTTCCCCTACTCCTCCTACTCCCCCTACTCTTTTAGTCTTTTTCTTCCTGTTACACTATATCAATTACACATTTTGATCCTTACTTACACTTTTAGCTTTTCACACCAGAGAAACCATTCGGTATTCACATGTGTGTCCTATTAATTTCGCTTAAGAGTCTGGCCTCGATGTGCATCCACTTAGCTACAAATGCTTTCTCATTCTTTCTGGCTGAGTAGTGCTCCATTTTATATATAAAAGCTGCATTTTCTTTATCCAGTCTCCAGTCATCATTTCAGGTGTAGTTTAATCAGTAAATTTTAAGTTACAGTGTGAGCTTGGTACCTCCCTTGGTCACAGGCTCATGGATTGTACCCTCAGCTGTAGGGAGGTCCTGACAAGCTCAGGGTCTCCTTTTCCACTGCAAACATGTCTTTTAATGGGTTTTAATTTTTTTATTTTTAGTTTGCACTATTTTAATGGTGAGGTTTCTTTTTTTATTAATTAAGATCTTTTTCAGTCTTTCAATGAGGTTCATAAAATGCAAACTGTAATCACAAAATAGGTTCTTTCATGTCACAGATCCTCTTTCATGTGACTAGAGCCAATTTGAGAAGAAGGATTTGAGATGTGTGCTATTAATCATGGAATAGGTCCCAGTTATAATATTCTGTACAGCTTGACTCAAATTAACTCCTCGTGTTTGCATCTTTCAAGGTAACAGGAAGTGCTATGTTGTCCGTTGATAATAATGCCTATAAATATTAATACACCATAAGCTCAGTTACAATGTAAGGGTAACAGTGATGTTTGTGTTATAACTCCCTAGTCATCTTAATGAGGATACATTCTGATAAGTAAATACATTTTAATTTACCAAATTATTCACAAATTTGTTTTGACATCATATGACTAAATCTCATCGAGTTTATTTTAAAACCGAAGTTTATGTGATTGGTAGAGTAGCATACTCATATGTTTATGAGTGCTTATCTGCCTATATGAAACTTATAATTCATGACAAGTAACATTTTCTGTATGTATCACGCTTATTTGGGCATTTCTATTTTGGGCAATCTCTGGGATATATGAGCAAATTTTATATTTGCCTTAGTTTGTTTGACCCATCTAATTGCAAAATATCTCCTGCACTGTAAGACCCAATGAAACCAAAGCATACAATTGTTCAGTAAATAAGTACCCACACCTGAAATAAAGCCTTAGTTACATTTCTTCTCTGAACCTTATTTTGAAATGTAAGTGAAACATTTTATCAGGTCTAAATTCTCTCTTAAATGTAGCTCCAACACCAATTTTCCAATGCTAGTAATTTATTGTGCAATTATTATAAAAATGCATCCATAGTAGTAATCTTTGGGTAATTACATCATTATGTAGCAATATTAACACAATAGTGGAAATGGCTCTTCGTAGTGTTGGATGGGAGAAGTAAGTAATATTTTGAAAAAACAAACAGAAAAAGTTAGGTATTATATCTCAAGAATATACATCTCAAGAAGTCTTCCAGAACTTTCGGCTTAAAACAGTTGGACCTTCTCTCTCACACAGTTATGGATGTGCCCAAAGAAAAGATACCCACAATGTAAGATGCTCATAGAGTTCATTTTGAATTATATATAATCTGAATTTAAATATGTGAGATTTGGAATAAAGTCAATATGTGAGCCAGGTGTGTTGGCACACGCCTGTAAGCCCAGCACTCAGGAGGCTGAGGCAGGAGGATCACTGTGAGTTCAAGACCAGCCTGGGCTACATAGTGAGTTCCAGGGCAGTCTCAACTATACAGTGAGACCCTGTCTCAAAAAAAAACAAAACAAAACAATAAAGTCAAAATGTGGCAGATGTAACTGCTCAGGATACATGGTGTCTTTTCAAGGGACTGAAGTCATACACAAATGATACCCTATCTTCTAAACCCTGTCTTTTTTCTAAACGCCTGTCTTCTCTTTCCTCTAGATCGGGGCACTGTGCAAAAGGTTGTCGTTCTTCCTACTAACAGCTCAGCCAGTGGTGAACTCATTCTGGAGGAGCTGGAGGTCTTTAAGGTTTGGGCAGCTCTCTTTCAATCTTAAAGCATGCGTGATGAACGTAATCCTCTAATCTTACAGCCACTCGGGAGGAGAGAACCCTTGATAAAAGATCCAATAAATCAATGTTATGAATTTTTGCATGTAGGAAAACAGATAAAATGAGAAATCTAGAGCAAATATGTTGGTAAAATATGTGCTTACACTTTGTTATCTTAACATAAAAGGATAATTTTTTCCCAGCTGTCATCACAACTTGAAGAGTTTTTAAAGCCGAGTTCTTGTGGCCAAGGTCTAGAAGATTTTGCTATGAAGGGACTTCTGTCTCTTGGCCCATCAGCCACTGAAACTCTAGCACTTTCACAGTTAATTGTTAGATAAGGTTTCTCAGTTTTTTGCAGCCAATTATTTTGATAAAAACTGCTTTGTTTTATTGCCTTTGACTCAAATGTCACTAGATAAATAAAACAAATGTCTCTTACCATTTAAATCTTCCTATTCTACCAGAGCATGAGATTCCGTTATGTTATTCTTCTTGTCCTTGAAATTTGAATTTCAAAACAGATTAACAAAACAAACAAGCGGATGGTCATTGAGTTCCTTAAGTTCTCACCTGCTCAGGGAGGGCAGAAACCCATTCTGCACTAACCTGTGAGTCCGGAGGGTGGATTTGGTGTCCCAGTCATCCTTTCTCCTGTGCGTGCCCCATGCTGTAGTTCAAGTGGTCCATTTGGGGTACGGGGAGGGCGCTGCTGTGGAGTGTCTAGAATCGCAGAGAAACATTAGTGTGGACCCAGTGCTGCTGCAGCCAAGTAAGAGCCAGTGGATCTGGAGAACAAAAGACCAGAAACCCAGAACGTCCTAGCCCAGTGAATTGCTGTGCTCAGCCGAGTGGACTCAGGATATTTTGACTCCTGTATGCACTTTTCAAGGTTCATTAAAAATATTGGATCAATAACCACATTAACTGCTTAAAAAGTAATGTAGTTAGATCTTGCTAATAAGTTTTGAGTAAACAAATACAAGAATAATAAGTCAAATATAAAAACCGAGGAGCTCTGGTGAATTGTCCTGTTATTAAAATTTATACTTTCGAATGCTGAACTCATTTTAGCGCTAGGTTATTTGTGATGAAAGCATTAAAATTGTGATCATCATTTTAATTCTCTCTGTTCAAGAAGTTTTTGCAACTGTTTTACAAAACAGTTTTGCTCTGTAAAGAAATTATTTCACTAAGTTAACCAACACACACACACACACACACACACACACACAGTTCTTATTCAACTAATTGCAACAAACATTTGAGCCAAAATAATGTGATATACCCAATTCTGAGGTTTTCCTGAAGAAAATCTGTAACACTTCATTATTAATATAGAAATATCTTTTTTTTGATGATCAAGAAATGCTAATTAAGTGAGACTGACACAAACCCAAACATGTGTGCTATGGAAAATTCTTAAAACAGTGTGAGCTTCTCTGATCCAGTGAGAGCGACTTCTGGTCTGTTTTGGGGACTGTGCTGCTGTTATCATGGTGAATAAACTCTCCGTAGAAAAACAGAGTCAGGCAGAATGCATGTGGGGGCCGGGAGTCCGAGGCAGGACCCGAGCCAGGGCCTGAGCTTTCTTCCATGCACGTGCATGCGATGGATGTGACTTCGCCAAGAGACAAGCTAGCAGACCGGGGACTGCTGCCAGCGTGGCGTTTATTTCACATTTCCGGAGGTGAAGTAAAGAGAAGCGAGTGTGGGTGACGTGCTGCCGTGGGAGCCCGAGGAAATGACGCGCTCAGGAGGAAGGCAGCCCTTCTCCCTTTGCGTTACACACGTACTGCAGAGCCTCGGTGCCAGTTTTGCCAGGCCGACACTTCAGTACCGACAACCTCATTCTCCAACTCTTTTGTCTATGTCTTCTGAAAAGTTGAATTCCCTCAGACTTCCATCGAACTGGAGGAACAAGTATCAGGAGCTGCCTCGCTCGCTTTAAAATGTAATGTCTGTGCATGCTTTTGTGTGCACGTTTTTGAGGAGTCATCAGAATCCCCAGAGTTGATATTTAGGATATTGTTGCTTTCTCTTTTCAATATTCGTAAGCACATGCGACTCCAGAAAGCCCAATATTTGAGGCTACCTTGGGTTTTGAGTGCTTATTCTTACTCGAGCTGCTCACAGAAATCTTCATGAATTTTCATCAGGTTAGCAGAAGTCTAACTTTTAACTTTTTCAAAACAGGAATGTTTAAGAAGTAGTATGAATAGAGTGGCTTTTAGAAGGATTCCTGCTACAGGAAATTCTCTGGCTTTTCACTCATTCTCCTGTATCAAAAGAGTAACTCTTCTAACAATATTTCTTTGTTTGCAACAAGAACGAATCAGTGCAGGGCAGCCTGATAGCTCTTTTCACAACAGAGGCAGCCATTTCCTGGTGTCTGGCCAAGTGCCACAGGTGACACTGAGACGGGCACCAAACCCCATGCCCCTGATCTGTGCACCAAGATCCAACCCCGGCCCCACGATGCCCACACACAGGGTCCCCTTACTTCAAGTGTTTTGATGCTGTGAGGTATAGATGATGTTGTGTGATTGTTCCTTTTCATTTTCTTGCATTATTTAACTAATTCATTCTCCATTCCAAAGAGGGAAATGTGCTTTACTCAGATGTACATGTACACAGGGAAAAACAATTTTTTGAATTTTAACCAAAAAGATCATGTATTTGAGTTTAAAAGGCTTCTGAAGGTAACATCAGCAAATGACATAATGTTTTCTCATATTTCAGACTCACGTTCCCATAACAACCATGAAAATATCATCCAAAAAGGTAAAAACTAAGTCCTTTTTCTGTTTTTTGCATAGTAAAATGTTTTCTTGGTATGAGACACATTTTATAACTTCTGAAAATTTAGTTTTAGTGTTAACAAGCTAATTAATAATTTTTAAATGATGCCACAGAATCATTTTTAATTTTGATGAAGAATTTATTAGCATTCAGTGAACGCTGGAATCAGTTTATTTTTGTATAAAAGTTCACGAGAGCAGAACAGATATACAGAAAGATTTTCCAACATTTTGTGTATCTTATATTCTCAAATATTATAGTGTGTGAAGCCAACTAAAATAAAAGTAATCTTTCTGAAGGAAGAACTTAGCATAATGTTTGGGCTACTAGAACATCACAAGCTCTCAGGGGCTGAGAAAGACCAGTCACTTCTCCACGAGTTCCCGCTGTACTCACGTTTGAAACATGCAAGGCACTCTGTAATCATTAGTCTTGACAAAATGCTATTTCCTAGAAGCTGTGAATGTCTGAAAAATGGAAGATCTTCAAGCTAAGGGTACAGGACTTCAGGAAGAAACATTGGACTGCGCCTACCAGGGGCCTTCCGATTACCTTAATTGTCCCTGAGTGTGCACATATACAATGGCCAGGGATAGAAGTGCCTGACTGTGTTCTCTACACAGGCAGAACATACTTCACCTCTCCCACCCTGGAGGTTTTAAGACAAGAGTTCTAAGGGGCAGAGTACACATTTGGAATAGTGTGGGCATCCGGGTAGGGTTGACATGGATTTAAATCCCAGCGTGACCATAAATCGTGGGAAAATCATTGAACTTCTCTGGCTGAAGTCTCTACGTGTGCAAGGTAACGCCTTTGTCACAAATGAGTTAACTTGTAGAAATTCCCTAAGGTAAAGCGGATCCTTCTCAAATGCTGTCAGTGAGAGCCTGACGCTTATTTTTCTTGGAGTAGAGAATAAAGGTTGTGTATGTCTGCACAAATGATTGCATAATTCTGCTTCGCCATCCTCGGTCTGTAAGACCAAAAGTCTGTTACGAAGTATGCCTGGTCAGTCTCGTACTCTTCACTGGGCTACATTTTAGAAGGAAAAATAAATAAGGTACAGTGGAGGTGAAGATCTCATCTGTAAAAATGTTTGCATAGTGACTGACAAACGTTTTCCCAAGTAACGAAGCCATTCGTTTTATTGCCTGACGTCCAAGGATTGTCTTTGAAGTCAGCGGGGAAACCCTGTGTTTACTATGGCTTAATGGAAAGAGAAAGTAACGGGGCCGAATCCACAGTGAACACAGACCCGTCTGTGGGGCGCAGTTGCCTGACACAAAATCGCAGGTTTCAGCCTAATGGGAGCTAACATATGACAACCGATTTCAAAATCTTTCATTATAGGTCATTCAAAATGTTTCATTAAAACCATTAGATTTAGCACAAGGTAAGTATTTCACTCTTTGGAATTCATTTGCAAAACTTTATACTGCTTTCTTTTTTTCACGTGAGAGAACTGCACATTATACAGCATGTCTTAGGTATATTTAAACTTCACCTTCCCTAATTCTGAAACCATTTCATTATTCATTTGTGCCCTTATTCTCAATTGATTCTTATGTCCCATAAAGAAGAAAATCATGGAATTTATAAGAGGAAACTAGAAGAAACGAAGTCTTTCTCAAACCTATGTGCTTTAAATATTTTAGTGAGGCTGATACATTCACCGTATTATTATTTAATTTACTCAGTATATATTTTATTTCAAATTTTCTTGTGCTAATGGTTATTGTTAAAATAAGTGCTTGTTTTCTTATCAAAAAATGTCAAAATGAGGGCTCTAGCCATTTCAGCACAAATTTAGAATAAAATCAATCGATCCAAAAGCAATAATTCACTAAGTACAGTAAATTTGAATGTTGATTCAAGTGAAATATAAGCTGATAATTTTTGTCAATCAATGTTTTACTCAACTGTTACAGTTAATTAACATTTATTGCTCATTTTTGACACAGCATTTGATGGGGTGGTAGCACCTGTCAGATACACCACTGACAAAATCTCTAGGGTGAATACTGTGTCATTCCACCTTCACCAATGGGAAGCTGAGCTCCAGAAAAGTTTCCCAGCACATTTGTGGCTGGTGTAAGAATGGACCCAGGAGTTTGGCTGATACACACCAGAAACTGATAAATGAAGACACCCCCACAGACTGAATCTTCCACTCCGTACTGGGAGTTGACCCAGTATTGAGTTAGATCCCTTTCTTTTTTATTTTAAGACAGGAGCTGTAGTTTGCCCAAGCTGGGCTGGAGCGCACAGTCCTCCTGCCTCAGCCTCCATGAGTGTTGTTATCACAGGCATCTGTCTGGATGCATTTAGCTCTTAAATGTGTGTCCACATATGGGTGAGGCAGGGTCTGCACACTCCCTTATCTCAGCTCGAGTTTCAGCTCAGAGTGGCGCTGACGTGAACTATATAACATCACTCCTTTGGGGAATAAGGCGCCTGCACTGGAGTCCTTCTTCCAGGTCCTCAGGACGTTCTGTGTACTGCTAAAGACTGAAGAGCAATGGTTTAAGAAGCTCTTTATAGCCTATGAATGAAGGAAGCCAAGGCATTTATCCATGACTTTGCTAGGAGACAAAGAATTCTGAGTCAAAGGTCATGCAGAAATTTTAAGATACGTTTAAATATAAATGCCAAAAATATATTTCCAAGTAATTTAAAACCATTTTAATGAGTAATACACTGCATTCAAAGATATGACAGCATGTTTTTAATCTAATACTGTCTATTTTTTCTTCTAAACTCAATGTTGCCCTTTATTTTAAACCCAACATTTTTCAAATTTACAATGTAGTGGGTTGCCAGACTTCAAAAATAAGAAAGCTTCCTTGTGCTTTGTGAAAAGACAGTATTCAAAGAGAAAAGAAAACATCGTAACTTAAGTCTGCGGTGTATTAGCTCAGATCCAAGAGGACAATGCGCTCCAGCGTGTCACACACATCGCCGTTCCACGTGGCACTCTGAGCTTGCTCTCCGTAGCAGGAAAGTGGTAATGTTATAGGTGCATTAACGGAGGAAATTCTATTTATTTTGGCTTTCTACCCTTGTGTGCTTTGCTTCTCATTTTTAGTCTGTTTTAAAATGAGTCCAAGGGTTTGTGGGCATGTGTCATAATGTGTTCCTGCTGGAAATCTCCTTTTAACTTCCACGTCTGAAATAAATCATTCTCATCCCTCTCACAGCAACAGTTGTACGTGAGCTCCAACGAAGGGATTTCCCAAGTGTCCCTGCACCGCTGCCACATCTACGGCACAGCCTGCGCCGACTGCTGCCTGGCTCGGGACCCGTACTGCGCCTGGGACGGCCTCTCCTGTTCCAGGTTCTACCCCACCGGGAAGCGGTGAGTATGAGGTGGTGCGGGGCGCTCACTTCCGCTGCTTTGCCCTTACAAGGTGACACAGACAGCAGCAGCAGCTGTGTGCCCTGCTCTACAACTGAGTGTCTCATCCCTTCCCCTACCCTGCTGTCTACCAGATTCCTCTCAGGGCCACCCCCTGTTTCCGGGGACACTTAGCTTTGTTTGCACATTGTCTAGTAATGTCTGTCTCTTCTTTGTCTTTTGTGCTTCTGTACACTTTTCATAGCCACATTCCCAGGGTTTCCCTATGATGCTTAATTATTGTACAGTTAAATATGTGCCCTCCATATCACAGAAGACAGTTGGACTAATGAAAAAGAAATACTGCCTACCAGGAAAATACCTAGACTCTTCATAGCAGGAAAGTTGGCCTGATTTGCTTCCAGAACCGTGAGGACCCTGCTTTTCTCTTTGAGGGGTGAGAGCATGGTGACTGCTTAGATTAAGAGAGAAAAGAAGTCTGACACCTTTTATGATCCCAGCAAAGGTATGGTCAGGAAACAAGGAACCAGTTTGCACCACGTTGGAAGGAACCATCAGTAGAAAAAATGCATCGAATAATGAAGAATATGCAGAAGTTGGGTCAGCCAAGGTCACCAGCTGTGTTCGGCTACCCTGATATGGGTCAGGATAGGCAATGGGGTGCAGTTGACAGGGCCAGTCGAGGGAGAGGGCATTAATGGTCTTTGGAGAATGCACTGTGGCGATGGTGTTTTGTGTGTAATTCTCTGAAACAGATACATTTTTATGGTCAAATTTAAATAACCCCACCATGCACTTTCTTGTCAGACGTCTTTTGATCCTTTTAACTATTAGTTTGACTCATACTCATCACCATGGGACAAGGAATTTCCAGATATTGTTATAGATGTTAGGCATATGACACAAGCAATGACCAGCGAAAGAGGAAAATCTCCATATAAAATAGTCTAAAGGGAGAAGGAACACAAAAACTAGAGGCAGGAAGACCTCCAATGTATCAAACCACAATGAGTAGGTCTATGGATGGAAAGGGGTAGAGCAGGCAGGTGGGACCCTTGGGCAGCAGGCTGTGCCTGACAAGTGGGCTGGCGTTGGATGCAAAGGGGAGGCTGTGTGTGCAGCGGAACAGAGGGAAGGCAAGAGAGGTCTGGGCCCGGACGCAATGTGGTGGAAGAAGTCTCGCATTTCAAATACTACTACAATTTCTTTTAACCATAATTACATTGCACTCCCAGGTAGACACCTGTGATATTTTTAAATTACTCTCATAACTCAGCTTTTAGAAGGCAGGATATGCTCACCAGGAAGAACCTTCTCAGCGTTTCCTGCAGCACCATGGGCACAATCTTGATTCTGAGGACAGACGTGGTGTGGAGGCACCAGTCTGCCCAGGTCTGGGACTCTAAGTTCAGGCTCTCCTTACTCCTGCAGGTGTATCAGCTTCGCTTTCCCTGTAAAGACCTCTCATTTGGCCCACACTTCTATTTATCAAAGAATAATTCCCAAGTAAAATTCTATGCTATAGATAGACAGATAGATGATCCTTGCATATCTCAAGGGTTTTTTTTAATATTTTAGATGTTTCTACTGAGAAATGGTCCTACACTCTCCCACAATTCCTACACTCTCTTACAATTCCAGTCCCTGTTTCTAAAATGTGTATTAAAACCTATTCCATAGTGTCATCCTAACTCCACAAATTATGAGTCTAATCACATCTTCTTTAAAGGGGGCGCAGGATTTAGCTCAGAGGTTCTGGCGCCTGCCTCGAAAGCACAAGGACCAGAGTTCAATACCCGGTACCAAAAAAAAAAAAAAACCAAAACAAAAAAAGAAAAGAAAAGAAAGAAATAGGTCTTGATGTTATATTGCTATTCTTTACTATTAAAATACCATTCCAGGTATTAAATTGTTTATCATGGATTGGAAAAAGAAAGCATCAACCATTTAAAAAGTATCCAGAGTACCTCTGGCAGTGACTTAATTTTACTGTGAAGATTGTACCCAATATGTACATATGAATCTTTTTTCCCTGTGCACTCAAGTATCTTAAATAATTGTGTATTTGTGTCAAAGGCTGCAGTATGGTTTCTGTAGTCATATAGTCTAGGTGAACACATGTTACTTTCATATGTGAAATGCCTGAACCTACCCATATCATGCTTGACCAGCATATTGGAAATTTCAAGAAGAATATGTGTACTATTTAAATTCTCCCAATTTCTTCCAAATTTAATTAACTGTATGTTTACAGAGAGTGCAAATCTTGCTTGCTAAATATATTAACTGTTTTCTAAGTTTTTATATGGAGTGTTTATTTTCTTTAGCAAGAAAGGTAATGATGAAGATGATTATTTCTCAAGTTCATTTTCTTTAATAGTGTCACCTTGTCTGGGTTTATTCTGCTTGCACTATTTAGATCACTTAGAAAAAGTTCATAGGAATGAAAAGCAACATGTCTTCTGCATAGAGACAGAGTTACATTTATACTTGGAAAGCCCTGGAATCCATATGCTAAAGAATAAAGTTAAATATAATTTGCTCCACTGTTTATGATTTTAAAGGAACTTGGTGCACAGTAAACAACATAAACTTTTAGTTTCTGTCTCTCCAGTATCTTAAATATTTGAGTATTTGTGTGGCAATTTAGTCTCCCATGTTGTTTACTCTGAATTCAGACATGTAGTTAGAAATTTTAAGGCAAGACACTCAGTTCAATCTTCAAGTAAATATCTTTTCTACACAAGAGGAACATGATTTCATTGTTTATCCAAGAGAATTGCTCTGATGGATAAACTATTGACAACTTGAAGTGAATCCCAAATCCTATATGCAGTATGATATTATCCTGCCTACCGGCAGGCTTTGGGATGCGATACCAATGTTTTCCAGACAGCTGACACAAACAGCAGGCTCTTGCTGAGCTCATCCTATAAGCCAACCATAACTATGGTTTTCTGTGTTTAAGTGTCTGGAAGCTGATACTCTACATTCACACTGCCCAGCTTGATAGCTGCCACTCTCTTCGTGACTAAGCCAGGCCACTGTGCTGATCCCAGACAAGCAGTGCTGCCCCAAAGTGCCCAGGCCACCCGAGGCACCCTCTCAGGGCTGCATCTCTGTGAGCCTTCAAGTTGCTTGGTGGTAAAGAACGCTGTGAATGCACGATGTAGCAAATGCACTGCAGTGAGGAGGGGAGAAGGAGCCGCTCTGCAGCCAACGTAGCACTGGCTGTGTTCCCTGCCGCAAGGCTGCCTACCACGACCGTGCTTTCTGAGAAAGGTTGTGCAGAGATACAAAATTTTCTAGAGAGCAGGTGACTTTTAAAAAGGGAATACTTAAATTACATAAAATTGTACACCTACAGTTCCCCACATGGGTGTACACAATTTGTGTGCACATGAAATAGTAACCACTTGCTGTGACCTTAGTAGAGACTACCTTTATAAATTTAATAGCCACTATGCAATTTTAATGTTTCTGTTCATTTTGATGAATATTTTATCGTTGGGGTTAAAATAAGAAAGATTTAACATTTCATTCAATTAAGTGATAGGCTCACCCTCCCTACTTTGCGTCAAATGTAGTGGAGGCTTCAACCCTGCACCCCAAGGTTCAGAGAATCCCACGTCTTCCCACTCCTAGCAAGGCTCCTCTCCACGGTGCCTCCTTGCTGGGTGTATTTCAGCGGCTCCATTTTAATCTGCCGCACTGAATAGCACAAGTGAAACTTGCAAGTACAGGGTTTTAGCTGGCAGTGATCATTCTAAGTCCTTTTCATATATTTCTGCACTTACAGGCGGAGCCGGAGGCAGGACGTGAGGCACGGAAATCCGCTGACACAGTGCAGAGGGTTTAACCTAAAAGGTACGGTCAGGGGCCCTTGCGCCATCTTGATAAATCGAGCCGCACTTCGCACCGCACTTAGCGAGGGAAAGGCAGCCATGTGCCCAAGCACTTCGTTTGGAAGAAAGTCTCATCACAGAAAGTGTGGGTTTAAGTTCCCAATGATTAAAACTCCGATGTGATTTGTGTGAATACTGAGAAGTGTGAAAAGCCAGGGTCCAGGGACACACACGTCTGCGGAAGACAGCAAAGGTATGTTCACGGGCAAGTCTTCCACGCAGGCCATAATTACTGATTTTCTTGGCTGCTGTTTTCTTGCTCACAAAGATTACTTATGAAAAACATACAGAATCAGTACTGCCCTAAATACACCTAACACCACATGCGCCATCTCAGCTCCTCCTACGTGTCACTTCTGCAGGACTGAGGCACACATGAGCTCTGTCCCGCGTCGTTTTCCCGAACTGAAACTCCACCGTGGTGCTGCCACGCCTCACACCCTGCTTCTCCTGTCTTACCGTCTTTAACGAACTTGAGCCCTCTGGAAACCTTGTCTGAGGGAGCTCTTACAGCATTCCGAATTTCCTTCTTCGTATCAGAGGTGGTTTCTTTCCTGCCTAACACTGCACGTACATACCGCGTTTTATGGATCCTTGCTTCTGGTGCTGGGCCCCTACTGTGCTTCTTCTCCTCAGCTGTGGGGCACAGCCTGACAGTCCAGCCGCAGGCCTCACAACTGCGCTGATCGCTTCCTTCCCATCCTGACACAGAGAAGCCGGTGGTTAACCTTTTACACTAATCCCCACCCCTCCCCTCCACCCCACCGACCAGAGGTGTCTCCCCTGGGTAAAATCAACAGAGATGCCTATTTCGGACCCTGTTAGTAAAGACTACCCTAACTATGAGAAGCAAATTAAGACAGATTTTTCTCAACTATTTCGTACATTGAACTGAGGGAACAAGTCTAGCCTACTATTTCCCTACTTACTGAAAAGTGTATAATGTCCGAGTTATTCCTGATAGTACTAGTGACTGGTGGTGACATTGACTTTAGGGTAAAACCTGAAGTCAGGGCTTTTCTTTGGTGATCTCATTTAATGTTTAAAAATCTATAGTAAAATAGAGGCTATTATTATCCCTGACTTGTGAATGAGGACCCAGTCTGTATTCAAACTGCGGTGTGATCACACCATATCCTTACCTGACGCATGACTCAGATTAAAATGCAAAAATCATTAATCCATGATTTAGAAATGAGGAAAATGTGGGTTTAGAGTGCTGTGAGAGTTGTTTGGGTTACACAGCCGTCAGGATCTCACCCTGCAGAGCCATTGGTTTTACCCTCTCTGCTCACTGTGGCCACCCTGGCCCAGTCCTCCGTCCTTTTTGAGGCTGTGAGTGTGGCCGGGAAGGGTGGGTCAGGCAGCACTGTCTAATCTGTGCGGCTCTTTCCACCAAATTTCCTTAAAATTCACAGCCTCAGTTTGCTCAGCACAGAAAATCTAACTCAGAAGACTGTTAGCAATTATGTGTCCAAAGTGTTGTTGAACCCAGTCCTCAGTGAACAACCATTCTTGTGTAAGTGTGCCTCTCTCGTCCGCATAGCTGCACCAACTTTTCTCTTTTTTTCTTTACATCAGACAGAACTGGCACAAGCTGTAAAACAGTTTGCTGGTGGAATGATTACCTTCTGCTGACTCCCATATTGGATCATGATTTTATAGAGAGATAAACATGCACATAGATTCCTTTGTTTCTCTCTCATTCTTTCTCTCTTTGCGACTTTTCAGGATATAGAAATGCAGCTGAAATTGTTCAGTATGGAGTAAAGAATAACACCACTTTCCTCGAGTGCGCCCCCAAGTCTCCACAGGCTTCCATCAAGTGGTTGTTACAGAAGGACAAAGACAGGAGGAAAGAGGTGAGTAATCCGCAGGCAGCAGCCTGTGGAGGGCTTTGGGAAGGAGTTAAATCTCCAGCCCCCAGGGAGGTGCATTCCAAATGAAAAAGCAAAGACGAAGGAACACACACACCCTTTCATGTCCCGGCAATGACGAGTGCCACTTTCTTCCAAATGCCTTGCCCCTAGGGTTGATGGATTCATTAGAAGTCCCCTGTCCACCCACCTCTGAAGCCCAGAGATTAAAACAAGAGCTTGAGCACCACCACCGAGGCCCTAGTGTTGATGCGGGAAGCACTTGTTAGAGGAAAAAGATGAGGCAAAGCCAGAAGCCAGGTTCCCACACAACAGCACCTTTGTGTGATTACAAGATAAAAAGAGGCTCTAAAAAATGTTCAACTTCCCTCAGCAAGAAATTACTTTGAACTGCAACCTTAGCATTCTTCTGCTCGGCAGCAATCTATTTATATTGCTTTATAATAATAAACTCTTAGGTTCCTGCAGGTAATATGTGGATTCAAAGTTTATGGTACCATTGCCTTTATTTAGTGATATGCAAAAAAGTGCCCTAGGTTTTGAACTAAAAAGGACAGATTCTAATGTTTCGCTGATTGGAAAGAAGTTTTAAGAGAGACACTGTTAAATGTCATAGAGTGAAATACTGTGAATAATGAATTCCGTAATACAGATGTCATATTATCCAGACAAATAAGAAGAAAAAATTGTGTGTGTGTGTGTGTGTGTGTGTGTGTGTGTTTGTGTGTGCACCAAGCTTTGGGGGAGTCTACAATGTGCTCTTATCAGTACATCATTGGGTCTGAAAGAGATGCGAGAAGACTAGAACCCCTTATATTTGTGGATTCTCTTCTGCCACTGGCAATTTTATTTCTCCATATTCAGTTCAGGGTTTGTAAAATGCGTATCATTTATGTACAACTTGGAAATTGCACCAAATGTTTCTGAAATGTTGACTCCATGAGAGAAAATACATTCCAACCCCTCAGACTGCCTCTCCCAGCATGTGCTTGGCTCTGGGGAATTGCCCACTGGGAAACTGAGGTCTTCACTTGGTACTTAATCCTGGGGCTGCCAACCACTCCCTGACAGGACATTTAATGATCTGGGGGCAGAAGGGACCTCAGAAACTCCCTTTGAACCCCAGAAATCTGATGCCTAATGCAATTTTTTTTAATTATCAGGGTTTTTTCTATAAAAATCTGTTACCAAAAAGTCTTAAAATTTGTAGTCTAATTAATTTGCATCTTTTAGACAAATGTGGGTAAGGACAACAATTGCCCCGTCCAGTGACCTGGGGTGGAGCTCACAGAAGGACCCAGATCCACCGCAGTTCGCCGGTCAGGTCGTGGGCGTCAGCCCTTGGCTGTCCTGGTCTCACAGGAGCCGGTTTATCGGTAGCCGCAGGTAGCGAAAAGGTCTCCAAGTGCTGCGGTTCGAATTGTAACATTGCTTATGTCATCGCTACCACATCTGCAACTCTGACGATGTCATCAGCAGAACAGGCTCTGGGTACACTTTGGTATTAACTGCACCACAGATGATAAAAGCCCTTTTTCTTAGGGACTCTTCCATTGCAGGGACAAAATGCCCGAAACCTTAAAGGAGAACTTCATTTTGGCGTGTGGCAGCCAGTGTGGCAGGAATGGGCGTGGCAGGGGCCTGGTGGGGCTGTTGCTGCCTCACGCAGGGATGGGTCCATATTCCTAAGGCAACTTTTTTCCCAATCACAAAAACGAGGAAATAATTAAGACAATGATAAAATGAACACAGCCATGGAACTGTTTTGTCAGAATTTAAACAGCATAATTCCCCTCATTACTAATTTGGTTGCATAAACCTTTAACATTGTATTTGATTCATTCTGATGCTTGCTGTTTCACGCAAACATGCTTATTTCTTGTGTTACTGATGGATAACTGATGAACATGGTATTTAAGATAAGTGATTAAAGCTCACAAAGCAAAAGTCAGATAGTTAATATTGAGCAGCATAGAGTGAAAACTAAATGCCCTCTTCTGCCTCAATTCTTACTTCCTCTTCCCAGAGTAAAAGGTTACCAAGCATTATATGTGCAGTTGTGCATTCCACCAAACGTGCTCTCTAGGCCCCTACATAAATTAATATCAGCCCCCGTGGAGCAACTTCATTTTTCTTTCTTGTGTAATATTCTATCATTGTGTGAAGTTGCCCTGCAGCTACTGGGAGTTATTTTTTAAGTTACCCTCCAACGTGGTTAGCTCTAGTTCTTCGGCATGATCAGAACCAACACATGAACAGTTATCCACCCGCGTAAGGGAGCGCAGCTGCAAGCTAAGTTCCTAATAAAGAATGGCAGTGCCACATATTATCAGCGTGTTTCATGGATATTGTTAACTTGGCCGTAAGAAATTTTTCCCCTTTTTGCACAAACAGCAAAGGCTCTGCTTTAAATCATATATATATAAAAAATATATATGTAAATGACTTTGAGGCACATTAATTATTAAAACTATGATTTCTTCTTTCTAATGATTTTCCCTTTCTTAATTATATTCTATCGTCCACATTTCAGTAACACTCTGTGTGCTTTTCTGTGCTTTCCTGTGTGGCTTACTTCTTATCCAAAAAATCCTTGACTTGGATTTTATTAATCATAAGATTCCCATATGCACAGACTTTTATAATTCAGGGAACCGTGTCACCTGTGTTACCTTATTTGATCTGGGTCAGACCTCTTTCTTCCTCAGGGAAAGAGCAGTCTGCAGGACACGCACAGAGCTCCTCTCCACCCAGGTTTAATCTCTGCCCTGACCGTGCTCTGGCTGGAAATGTCAGGAAAAGCACTTGAGGCATTCAGCTCCCTGCCCATGGTCACCATTTGTGCAGCATGGGCCCTCAGGGCCAAATACCACCACATACTTATCTCCTTCCTTCAAGGGAAGCTGCCCAGGGGAGACGGAGGGTGACTGCTGTGTATTTGCAAGGTGGGGTAATTGGAAAAGCCCTTCGGAAATGTTCAGAGCTCTGCTTCTGCTTATATATGGTCTTTCTTGTTATTTTGAACACACATTTACCAGGGGAAAAAAGACTACTAATTGTGGCATCACACTTTTACAAGTAAATGGTATTTTGGTAAAAATGGCGAACAAGGAGTCGAGGATAGAGTAGATATTTCAAAGCATCTGCTAATGTCGGCTGTGTGTAATGGTGCAGGCCTGTATTCCCAGCATGCTGGAGGCTGAGGCAGGAGGATTGCCATGAGTTTTAGGCCAGGCCGAGCTACATAGTGAGTTCAGGCTGAATTATCTAAGGAGACCCTATCTCAAAAAAGGCAAAATAAATAAACTTTATCTGTGAATTTCACTTTATGTTGCTTGTGATTGAGATTCCAAAACCCCAATCCTGTCCTTGTATGTGAAAAACTAGCCAAAGGGAATGCTCCTTTTTTTTCAAACCTGGGTAATGCCTTCCTCTTTCCTCTGCCATTCTAAAGAGGCTGTGCAACTCACCAAAAGTTCGTGTCCACCAAGAAAAAAGCTGCTTTTTACTTGGCCCTTCCGTCAGATTAGTGAAAGGCCGACTGTGTTTTCTCCTATCCTGGTAGACAGCACAGCCTTCAGCTGGGGACCCCACTGTGTCTCTCTCTCCTAGGTGAAGGTGAACGAACGCATGATCGCCACCCCGCAAGGCCTCCTGATCCGTTCTGTCCAGGATGCTGACCAAGGGCTGTACCACTGCATCGCGACAGAAAACAGCTTCAAGCAGACCATCGCCAAGATCAACTTCAAAGTTCTGGATTCGGAAATGGTGTCTGTGGTGACGGACAAGTGGTCCCCATGGACCTGGGCCAGCTCCGTGAGGGCCCTGCCCTTCCACCCCAAGGACATCATGGGGGCCTTTAGCCACTCGGAGATGCAGATGATCAACCAGTACTGCAAAGACACGCGGCAGCAGCAGCTGGGTGAGGACTCAAAGAAGCCAAGAGGTGACTACGGCAAGCTCAAGGCTCTGATCAACGGCAGCAAAAGTAGGAACCGGAGGAACCACTTTCTGGAGTCCTAATGCGTCCTCATGTGGGGCCTCTGCTTCCAGTAACAAATGCCCTATCTTCAATGATCAAGTCTTGAGCAAAATAATCTAACGCTTTTCCCATGAGAAATTCCGGACAATAGATGATGACTTTCTTCTATAGGAGTTTTTCGTGGATGGAAATGAGCATGCATTTTCTTGTACCATATTGACTAGCACTAGACAAGTCCTGTCCTCATGGTGCGGTACAAATATTTAATTTAACCCAGATTATTTATATCTTTAGTCATCTTTTCTTCGATGCCAACATGCAGTTATAAAAGGAGGTCTGTTACATCTCTGGATTGAACAAGAGGTGCAACCAGGCAATATTTCTTCTTTGCTTTAAAGGGTTAGATTTCCAGTTGGTGATGATTTTATAAATGAAACAAATTCCAATTCACAGCTGTCAATGTAGTATAAGTCATATAAATGTGTGTGACAGAGTGGCCTTGAGAAGAGATGTAGAATAATAGATAAGTGACAGAAAGTATCTAAATGTTATATACAAACATGAATGATTGATGAGGAGAAAATGATGAGTTTGTACACTTCCCGTGAAGTTGGTTGAACTGTCAGTCACTGATAGCTGTCATTGATCTTTCTTCCCTTGTTTCAGGAAGATCAAATGAATAACCCATACCATAAAGATCTTCGACTCAGTATGTCAGCGATGCCTTTAGGTTTATATAGTTGTGTTATCATCTTCCAAACAAAAGCGCTTTTCTTTTTTTGGAAGTTATTTAAGTTATTATAGACGTAAGTATAATCTTAAACTATTTAATTGATTACTGTTTTGAGTCTCATTTTCTTGTCTGCATGGTAAATTAAAAAAATACACAAAAAAAGAATTTTTAAAGCATCAGACTTCTCCAGGAGGAGTGAAACCATCAAAATCAAGGGAGACTATTTAGTGTTATCAGGAGGAATTTATAGCAAATATGGGTAGCTTTCATAGCTCTAATAACCAGGTTCAGCAATTAACTCCCAGTTAAAACAACAACAACAAAAAAAAACTCACGTGTAATGACTTTTTAGTACATTTTATTGTTTATAATTATTTATGAAGAAAGGAAAATATATATATGTGAACAAAAATAGACATTCTTAATAAAGATTTCAGAGTCCTGTTTTTGTTATTATATTGTTTTTCCTTGCAAATACTTTTATAAAAGGATGTTGGTACTTATGTTCTATGGTCTATGAATGTAAATGTGGCAAGCTTTGTGATAAATAATTATCTTCTAATTGCATTTTGGAGTAGTTTTATTAAAATAATTTAATACTAAAATTATTTTCTCCAAATTAAAATTTAAAATGGAGAAATGAGAGAAATTTCCTCATGTTTTAATATTTCTTTTAAAAACAACTTTTGTTTCTTCATTTATTTTTGAGATATTCTTGTTTCTGGAGCAAAACAAAAATTGTACCATTTGTCTATTCAAAAACCTAGTACAATAATTTTATTTCTAGTTAGGGATTCATGAAGAAATAACCCAAACTGATATTTCACCTTTATGAACACTGCAGCGTAAAAGTCTGAGAAATAAAACCACAGCTAGAAATGTAGATCAGTGGTAGAATCCTCACTTAGTAAGAAAGAGCCCTGTGCCTAATTCCCAGGTTCAAAAACTATAAACATGAAAAACTAAGATATTGGTCAAAAGCATGTGGTCATCAATTAGCATCTAAGAATATGATTTATTTTCTAAGTGGTGGCAAATTTCAGTACTCTTAAGAGGGGGCATCAGGATTGCAAAAGTAACTGTTAATATGTACAACACTAATGATATTCATTTATTAGAAGCTGTTGTTCCAATGCCTATGATTTTAAACAATCTCAACAGCAATTTATTATATAAATGCCTTTTGTGCTTAAAAGCTTGCACTTACTTTCTCCTCTGCATACAAATAGCAGTGTAGCTACATGGAAGCAAAGCGCCCTCTGTGTTTGCCGTCCATCTGTTCACTGTACAGAGTTACACGTAAAATTATTTTAGAATCACAGTTCCCCTGCTGCACATAGGCCCAAACTGACAGACAGTGCTGGTGTTTAGTTTTATATTATTTGTGCTATTTAATGCCTTCTATTTTGAACAACGTTGAATTGTGTATACCTTTCTTACTTTTGTTTTAAGACTACAGAATGCCTTCTTGAATACAAGTCTGCCCAATGTAAAGAAATTTTTTCTTACCAAAAATTATGTTAATGAATCCTGAACATTGGTGGTTGATTGGTTTTGGTTTATGTCATTTGGCAATTTAATGGTTTACCGTGTTTTCTATTTGTATTGTACATAAAATTTCCTAAAAATGCACTTTTTCCCTCCAAAGTGTAGGTTTGTGGCTAGATTTTGGCATGATGAAACTGTAACTTCAGTGGATATTTACTCTGTGTCAGAAAAACTAAATGTAGTTTTCACACTGACATTTCATTAGATATGGAAGAAATCATTTGCCTGGCAAAATAAAACATTCTGAATTCCCTCAAGGATGTCTTCAGCTTTTCTTTTCTTTTTAATGATGAGTTCAATGAGTGATAATAGACTCTACTGAAATATAATTTTTAAAGATTTTTTTACTTCTTCATTTTTGTGAAATTAATACTTGTAGACACTGAAAATTCCAGGAATTCCAGGGTACATGTGTGAAACTCTTCCGGTACCAGTAGACTTCATTCAAACCCAGCCTTGGAGACATCCGGGGCGGTGTCACTTTTCTGTGCCTGTGTCCAAGATATTTAATAAACATGCAACAAATGTATTTTTCCTTCCCAGTATCTTACATCTACCCATGTCTGTAGTCACTTCTTTGGAATGTGTCATGCCTATATTTTCTGAAATTAGAGTTTAGGCCTGCGTTGTCTTTGAAACCAGACTACCTGGATTTGAATCCAGGCTCACGGTCTTAATATTTTCATCTCTTACTTAAACTCTGTATCAGTTCACATCTGTCAAGTGTTAGGACAGAACATGTGACACAGGAAATATTTGCTAACTGTCCTAGGATTCCCCCTCTGCGAGGTGACATACTGCTCAAACAGAAGGAGGCTTTCTCCTGTGCTCTATTTCAAGTTCAGTGCCTCAGTGTTTCTTGTATCTCCTTTGCAGGTATTGAATTTAGCTTTACTTTTAAATAAACGTAATGCATTTTGTAATATTAATGCATTTCTGATGTGTTATGCCCTTTGCCTTCATGAAGCATTTTAAGGAAAAAGATGACAGTCTTCTCCATCTGTCCTGCTACAAAAGGCAGGGGAGGCTTTGTTCTATAGTCCAGGGAAGATTGCTCAAAACAAGATCCTGGACAGACTACATAAGCAACAATGCTTTTTAAATCAAATATTAAGACTTTATTGGAATCCTAAGCATGGCAAAAAAGCTGCAGAAGACCATTAGACATTATTAAGGAAGCTATAGAAGATCACATAGAAAGTATGTAATTTTAAACAAACTTATCCCATCATCTTTTACACTATTTTTTGCACAATCAAACCCTGCTGTGAAATCAAAATAAATCTCAAAATCTCCATGGACATGCCACTTTACGAGCTTCTTTGCTAATAAGTAGCTTGCTTCGTGAACCTGCTGTATATTGCCATTTTTATGCTATCATAGCAATGTGACTGTCACAGTGCACAGTTATCGAGAGTTAAAAGAATGAGCTCCAAGACTGAAAAAAAAATGCATTCTTCATTCCAGTGACTCCAATGTATTTGTCCATTCACCTCATAAAATCCTACTTTCCAAGTAGTTTGAATTGCGTATTTCTCAGGGCTATTATATTGCTATGCTTGAGTGTTTCTTACATAATGTGCTATTAAAGAATGACATTATGATAAACACATTAAATCTGTTTATTCTATGTAAGGTTACCTCTCAACCCCCAAGAAGAAACACTGGGTGGATTTCGAGTAGTTATGTGCTTTTTTTTTCCTCCCGAGTTACTCATACAACAAAAATATAATCCCAAGACCATATGAAACAAAAAATGCAATTATTTCTGCAAGGCCAAAATGTATATCTAATGGAATTATTATGAAAATAAAAGTCTTCCCTATTGTTTCTCTGGAGAGTTTTCAACATAGATATGATCTTTGGCTCAGGAGATGAAAGGAATTTCTTTCCTTCTCTCTTACATCTTTCGATAATGGCATTGCTGTAATTTTACATAGTTATGGATTTCAATTCACTTTTATTGATTTGGAAGTGCATTATAATAATCTGCACTTCACTGCTACACCCTGGATATTCAAAGACACATTGGACCTACGAAGTCCCTCCTTTCGGGTGGAGGAGAATTGGAAGCTGCTGGAAGCTGTGGTTTGATAGTGGCAGTTTGTCTCATGAGTAGAAAAAATGACCCACAGCAAACTGCAGAGATACCCCCAAGCCCCGATGCAGTCCTGCTGGTATTTCTGAGTTTATATGTATGTGTGCGTCAGTGGACTAGGCCCCTGTATGTTCACAAACCAACCATTTACTATTCAAAAACAAATCACAATTCCCAATTCAAATTTCTCTCTTGGCTTTTCCACTTGAAATGATCCGCCCTTATGAATCTCCTGCTCCTGTGTCCTTCCCTGGGGTACTGGCTTGGGGTCAGCACCAGCTGCATCAAGCCGGGGCTGCATCAACTCCCACACATCAGGAGCGAGTCCGTGGTTCCTTCCTCCACCCAGCTGGTGATCTGCAGGGTGCCGGGGAAGCTGCCTGTGACCCCGGTGTGCCCTGTGTGTGAGAGGCTTCGCCCTCAGGGAAGCCCTGCCCTGGGCTGTCCAGGCCTCCTTCATCCTGTGGAGAAGCCAGAGCTGTGCCGAGGATGTCACATCCCCTCACCCCAGGAAAACCATCTCTGAAGTGTTCTTTGTAGTCCTGGGACTGGAACCAGGGCCTCACCTGTGACAGACAAAGGCTGTGATGGGCGAGCTATGCTCTAACACAGACCCCACAGGTCTGCTCTCCACAAAGCCAGCGCTTATGGCACCACAACAGATTCACCACCGGCATCGGTTTCGCTGCCCTCATCTGGCAAGTTTTCAGGGCCCCACTTCATAGCCCTAAGCCAGGTGGTGACGGGCTGATACCTGTAACACCAGTTCTCACAACGGCCCTGCACAGCTGTCTCCACCTCACGGGATGCACAGGGAGGGCAGGACTGGAATGGACAGTCCCTAGGGACGGGCAGTGCCTGCTCCAAGTGTACCAGATGCCGAGCTTGCTGAGGGTGCTGAGGGTGCCGAGCGGGTCCAAGGCCCCATCTGTCCAGTCCACAGCGCCAAGGCAGATGGAGCCTGAGCATCTCGGTCCCCTTGGGTTGCACAACAGCTGGGTGTGTTCACCGCTGTGGCCCCCTTTTAGGTGCACAGGGAGTGGGTGTGACATCCTCAGGTCTGGATCCAGCTGGGTGACCTGACAGGAGGAAGTTTTGATCAGCATGATCATCTAGCAGCTTGGCCCTTGGGAGTGTGCTTGTACTGCTGAGTTGAGTCATTTTGGGAGTTGATTTGATA